ATTCGCACATTAGATTCCCGCCATTTAGTCAGATTTGTTGATAGATATCGGGCATAGTTTAAGTCACGGTTGATTGTACTTCGACCCTACGTAACACTCAGATCCAGTTAGGTTTGTTTGTAGAAAATCACAGTCACTTGTACATATTTTGTCAGTCCCCTATGGGCACGTCATCAGTCAACTGCTGGCGCTGAATAAACGAGCAAACTTGTTTCACCGTGGTGCTGAATTGTACAAAAGCTTTCCCTTTATCCCTTGTTCTATTGATGGTCTGTGTACCATAGGACGGGATAAAAATGAAAGGACGGCTTTCACGCCAGCATATCACAATGCCGGTTGTATCACGTGTTACCCCCATTTCAATCACGTGCACGGTGATGGCGCTTGTGCGAATCATCCGGTATAGGGTGAACAGCGTATTACCTAAAACCGGTTCATTATGCTAATAAGGACTGTCCATGCATTCGTGAAGACAGCAGTTGGTATATATGCGATTCAGTAATTGTCAATCACGAAGCTATTGTAAGGTTATGCCCGAAAATCAGCATGTTTGAGCTGAAGTCGCTGTTCCAGTGATAAACGTCTGCATAGGGGGTATTTGGTTGCATTGTTTCAGCCGCTTCACTAGATCAGCTGATTGTCTGTTTCAAATGAAACTATCAAAGGTGTGGCATTTTTGTACTACTTTCTCCATAGACTTTCCTCACACTGATCTCTTCTGTACTTTGACCGTCATTTTGGTTCGTGATTTAGTGAACAGCTTGAATTCGATCTAATACGATGTGAAACCCGCTCATCGAGTTATGCAGGCCTTTCTGTCGGAATAAGAAGCGTGGGTGAATGACGCACATGGTACCTGCAAAGCTGATATATCCGTCGATACAATGAAAAAAGCTTGCGTACAAGTATGTGTGGGCACCTGCAAACAGGAGTCAAAACAATCTGAGTAGAAAACTCTTTGCATCGTTCAGGGATAATTCATATAGTGGGAGGGAAGTGGTCAACATTGCTTGAACAGAAGTGATATAGATGCTCCTGGGGTTTTGAACAGAACAGTTCAACTCAAACTCTGATAGACGTAAAGACTCCATTTCTTTTTCAGGAAAGTGAGCTACTACACGGATTACTCTGAAACACTGAATGCATTTGCTTCACTTGTACAGTGTGGAAAAAAGACAGTTTACGGGATATCATGTTTGCTGTCATACCGGAACAAAAAATATTCGAATGCAAGCTAAAGCTGCTTCTCGAAATCCACGTATGCGAGCTTAGGGAGACTTCCTTCATTATCTCTCATCCACCGCAATCGGCACCGGTACTAATGAAGGCAATTCGAAGACAAAGACCCAAATCCGAGGACTTCTAGTAACCACACGGATACAGAAGTAGCCTTGCAGGGCGAGATTTAACACGGGTAATGTTGAAATCCATAGAAGATTCGTGAACCAATGGAACATTTGGGGAAATTTGGCGCAACTTAGCAACCAAAGTGCAAGGCAGACACTCCTGTGGATAGAGGGAAGTGTCGGTCCTAGACGTGACTGAGTAATCCTATTAACATTTCAGGATATCCAGTACGCCGTTTCGTGTCCCAGCAGGTATATAAATTACATGACCTAAGATCGACCAGCGATTCCGTTGAGCACTAGTTGATGTCATTATTCTAAGAAAGTAGACCCGTGAACACCACGGACATACCCCATCTACCAACGCATGTGATTTCGTGCGCCTCAAACAGTTCCCACACCCACTATCCCCCTTGAACCTCAACCCAGTGCAATCGGTTAATTGTGTGGGAACGTCCGTTGGTTAAAAAGCTAAAATTACCGTGCCCATCGGTAGGAGGCATAGCTCTCGCTTGGGTGAGATGGCACAGACTGCAATTCCATTTTTCGTGGAAATATTTTTAAAACGACTGAAATGCATGCGAATTTTGTTGAGTATTTCGGGTTTTTGACATAAAATTGGACAGCATTGGAGACCGGCGACAAAGGAGACCTCATGCAGTGGCGTGTGCATCAAAAAGTGACACCTACGACATTCCTATTGTGCTTGATGAAGAACACCCCACCAGACACAGTGTCAGTCATCGTGCAACGTCAATCGTCTGACGGTTTCGTCCGCGTGTCAAGCGGGACGTTGGGGTTCACCCACTCGGTTTACTGGAGCTTTGGTTTTACCAGCTGGGAACTTGCACACTGGTTGCGAGTGAACCGACTGAGCCGTACTTCCGAATTTAAGATTTGCAAGTTTGCTGTAGAGGAAAATGTTGGTAGCTCAGTTAGCACACATGGTCGTTGGTTTGTTCGCTGAGCCGGGACATCTGTTTGCAAACGTTGTGCACAACTACCAACCCATCGCTACGCTCCACCACGCTACCTAACAACGCCCTGATGAGGTCACCCCGATCGCTGATGAAACGTTTGCAATCAAATTGCCCAGCTCATCAAACAAACCAGCGGCCAGATGTGCAGGTACATTCGGAACCACTTGCACAAGTTTATGGCCATTACCGACATTATCAACTTTCGCGCCAAACACAACAGGGGAAATAACACACCAGCATATTTGCGTCACCAGCTGAACAGTATAGGATGTAGATAATCGTTGGTTTGCTTGTTGAGCTGAGCCACTGGATTGCAAAGGTTTCATCACCAATCAAGTTGACGTTATCAGTGCATTTTTAGGAAGCGTACTGGGACGTGGCGATGGGTCGGTGGCTGTGGGATTTGCGTACTTGCTGGGGCGTAATTAGCCATAGTTCATCAAGTGTTCGGTGCAAAATTAGGACCACACTGAGATTGTACTACTATCCTGTAGGTATATTTTTCCACAATTCAGGGTTGGAATATACTCGGTACCATTACGTTATCTTCACATTCCTTTCGATGTCTGGCAAGGAAGACTATGTTTAAATGGTGTCTGTATTATCTATGTCATATGCTGTTCTTGTGAAGTTGGTAACCAGAGTAGGTGATTGCTGATCGCAGTTCATGCTCGTCGGAGGCGGGCCTCATGCCTTAGCAGTGATATATTTATTTTCAATTAGTTATCACTATCTATGTCATATGCTGTTCTTGTGAAGTTGGTAACCAGAGTAGGTGATTGCTGATCGCAGTTCATGCTCGTCGGAGGCGGGCCTCATGCCTTAGCAGTGATATATTTATTTTCAATTGAGTTATCACTCTGCAAGTGAAGTCAATCTATGCTGAAAAGCCGAGAAGTCCTCTACAACTGCCTCATCCTTATGCGAAATCAAGATAGTTTTGAACGAATGACGACCAGGCCAGCAGTTTGTGCACAACCCTTCGGCCACTAACAGCGAACAGCTCGCACTTGGACAAGATACAGCGCCACGCATCGTTCAGTCACGGAAACATCACGTGATCTTGATTTGTTCTATTTAAGGACAAACTTTTCACCATGCCAGTTGGTAGTGGAATGAAACAAAGAGAAATACGTTCACTTGATACAAGCTCCAGAAAGTAATCATATGAACATCGTCAATGACCGAGGTAGTGAAAATCACCAAGCATCCCAGAACGAATAGAGTTGGAGCTTACGAGGATGAGGGGAGTGGAGTGGATGCGTCGATAATTCCTTCGTTATTCGGTCTTATGTTCACATGCTGCTCATCTACGGATCATCTATCATGGAGCATTGATTATCCCGAAATGTCCGAATGCTTTCCAAGAACTTTTGATGGAATAGTTGCTGAAACTGCAAGGAGTTGCCAAAGGATAATGATTATAACGCAAAGGCAGATAGGAGACGGATAAGTAGATTATGTAACGACCAAGGCAGTATCGGACAAACTGGTAACAAACTCTAGTTAGTCTCGGTTTGCCAGCTAAATCGGTTCTATGGGACTACCTGGTTAATGAGCAGCAAAATCTTCATTGCAATGCACTTCTCATGACAACTAGCTATACTGACTTCGTAGCTGTATTGGCTTCGGCACCCAAAATCGCCCCAAGTGCACACAACATGCCTATGCAGCCCCACCAAGTTGTGGTACTTTGTGATTCTAACCTATCCCCGTTTGTAACTCATCACTGACAAGATTGCATCGTTATTTTCTCTTTCCAGTCTTGATGTTTGACGCTACCATGAGGCTGGGATAATTTTAAAAAATCTCGTGCCACTTCTACACAAACGTATTATGAGAAGGTATCATTAGCCTACTCACAGCAGAAGTAGACAGTCTGTTAGTGTTTGCCAGACCTTCATTTCAGACCAACCAAGAATAACACGAATCCACAAAGTGGTTAAACAACGATATAAGGTATAGCCAAAGAGGGCCCACTGGTGAACGATGAGAGAGATTGGCACCTTGGTCTGAGATAGGATGAGTCAGGGAGCCAGGCGCCAAAACCTTTACAATTAGGAGCTATGTACTTGCTCTCACTGCTCACTTGTCCATTGTTCCATTTTTCAAGCAAAACTGGGGAGCGAATTTTCTCCGTCCAACTGTAATACCATTTCGGTGCCTAGCTATCATGCCACTGGAAGGAAGCACGAGGGCCCAAGCCAAGACCGAAGCAGTCGAGATACAGAGGTCAGATTCGAACCAAGAACCTTCCAGTCAGTAAGTTCGCTTCTTAACCACTGGGCCACCTCGAGTTCCGATTTTCCCTCAGGTCCCATATAGTTCTCTTGTGACATACGCCAACCTAGTTTGTCTCATCCAAGAGTTTAGTCGAATTATTCAGCGCATCTACTTCACCAAATAACAGTAAACGCAAGCCATCGAACTCTGTTGCTGAAAAAAGACGACAGATGACAATCGGATGCAGAGAGGTTCCTGTCCTATTTTCGGTGCTAGTGTTTGGTAGGAATACCGTACGACAGCGACAGACTGAACACGTTCACCTTAATGATATCGAGCGAATGGACATACAGAAATGCTGGTTTTAAAAGGTTACATGCTGTGCGTAGCCATATCTGAGCCCTGTTTCCGGTTTGACAGGTTAGAGGACCTGTTTTTCTTTTCAAACAAATGCATAGCAGCGTATAAGGTGACACGTAGGAGAGATTGAACGAATCCAGATATTTAGGAGCTACTAAATAAAAATGGGTTTCCCGAAACAGAGAGGGTAGGCCTGAGATGAAAAAATAAGGTAGAAACATGTACAGCGAATGGGGAAATTATTCCTCTTTTTGCCTTCGAAACAGAGTGGGTGGAGAAATGCATCCCCACTGAAAGAAGTGGTAGTGGCAGTTCCAGAATGATGAAAACCAGTAAGATGAATCTCCTAATCCTGGATGACTGACTGACTGCTGAATGAAGGATGGACTACGTTTTTTGTTCGGATGGTAAGTTCGTAACTGGTAACGGAAGCTCCTCGTAGAAGGACGTGGAGCTGCGACCACTTTGTTGTATGGGGATATGTGTATGGAGATACCGAAAAGTGGTGACCATTTCCAAGCTGAAGGATAAAGCGGCGTCACCCAAACGTCGTCCAGCTACCCAAACGGAAGTTATCAGAAAACACAGGTTGTAAAGTAACATCACCAATATCAAGCCGTAGCTGGTAGTAGATGGTTCGGATACGCCAAACGCTCGTGAGACGAACTGAGTCCAAAGAGACTTCTCGACTTTTACGCTCGAACCAGAGTCGTACGCTTGACCAGTACGAGGGGCGCTGTGTGATGGGGGAAGTGCATCGTTGATGAGGTCGATGTGGGAGGAGGAAGGATAAAAAGTGATAGGGAGGAGAGCACGCCAAAAAGATAAGCCTTGGGACGAGTCTTCGGGTTGTGCACCAGATGGATTTTCCTCCCCGCGAGGTGAATCCGTGTCGAAGGAAGACGGAGATGGACATGAAAGAGGATGCGCCTCGCAAAACTGGGAACTTGTTCCCGATAGCGAATCCCTCTCGAAAGTTTGGGCTGCTAGGCTTAGGCTAGTCTGGTAGGCATCAGACCGAGGACAGTAATCCGAGTAAACAGCCGCAAAGGGGCGGTAGTTTGCCTTCAGTGAATTAGGCAGAGTCAGTGTAGTAAGCCCTAACAGATTGGATTGCAGAGGTAACGCTGAACTGAACAGGAGGAGCAAGACCACATTGCCCAAAATCGCCTCCAAACTTAGAGAATGTGGTTTTGGTCGAAGAAATCGGGCAGCTGGTGTAGCATAGAATCCCCAAAGGCTGACAAACAGGAGGAAATGAATGACGCAAATCTGAAACGTAAAGAAACACAAGATGAAATAAACCAATTGTACCAAATAGCTCAGTTCTCGATTCTAATCCTGATTCAAATGAGATAAATGTCAAAACCCGGTGCACAAGTCCCATCTGTAAGCTTGCCAGTTTAATGAAATAGGGTTGTTGGAATATACCTACTATGCGGCTAACAGATGACCATCAGGTAAGGTGGTAAGAGATAGAGCGTTGGTAGGAGCGTTTGACCTACCACGCTGCTACAGGTGATGCTCCGTGACCACTGTACGTATGCATCCAGAATGCGTATCATGAGTGGTGTGGGTCACTAGAAGCCTTTTTGCACACACTGTGAAGCTGAGTTGAGTCGGTAATAATGGGTCATCAGTTAGGCATACTGACGTTTTCAGAACTGTCGCTCATCTGTTACCCTCCAGTTTACACCGGGAATTTAGGTGAATGCACAAACCGATTGTGCGTGTCCAACTAATTCAAGCGAAACTATAATTCTTAGATGCCCTGGTCATCAGAGTTAGAAAGGCTTAGAATCGGATCAGTCCAGTTGCTCTTGGGTTTTAGTCCCACTACAGTGGACCTCAATTTAAGACAGAAATGATCGACGTTTCCTTGACTCAGTTCACAGGCGGTACCAGGATCCAAACGTACTGAGAAAAAAGACGTTACTGACCTCTAGTTGAGATAGAGCGAGTTCTGATTTGAGACAACCGAGAAAGTAACACTATCAACCAATAAGTTGACGCAATCACCAAAGAAAGATTAGCGTATACACGAAAAATATGTGACCTACAATTAGCTAACTTCAAATTTTTATCCAAACACTAGAATTCCTGTCGATTCATCTTAAGAATTGAACGGGCTAACATATGAAAAATACCGTTTGGATAGTGTGAACGAGAATGAATGTCATGAAAATAGTGTCAGATTTGTAGAGGAAGAAGTTTTCAGAATGTTTGAACAGTGCAATCAGGATGGACGAGGCATGATCACGTCTTACAAAGAGTGATGCTTATTTTTGTACAACATGCAGATCCGAAAAACGCAGATCACGTACGAGTACTGAGGGAACCACGATGTAAACCAGTAGAAATAACAAAGTGCATCTGGAAGCATCGTTGACAAATAAGTACAGGTTAACCATAAGTTGCCGTGTGTTCAGATGAATTTTACTACTTGTCTGGTATATCAAGGCAGATTCCGTGTGATCTAGCAAAATGTCTTGGTACCGAACTGAACAAAACATACTGAACCTATATGGCTCCAAGAGCCATTCAAATTAGTTACTTTGGAGCTAAACTACTAAGGCCTCAAACAATTCCAGTTCTAGTTGGGATTTGCACATTCACATGTGTGGGCTACCTGTTGGGCTGAGCGCGAAGCAAAACCGATCACGAGATTTCATCTGATTGTCTGGGATCGAGGTCACGTACAGAGCACAATTTACACTACTTGTCTGGCATTCCGGAGACTATGTGGAAAGATAGAAAAGGCTATCGAATGTTGGCACCCCAGGATTCCGCACGTGATGCGAAACGATAGCAATCCTCAAGGGACTTGCTTAGCTCTTACAGAAGAAATCGTACAAGCGAGCAACCATTTACAGTTAGCGCAATGAGGAAAAGACAAAGGGTCACTGGCTATAGCCCAGCTGCGGTTGGGACATTGGCCCGTACTGCAAACATAGCCTGTGTATCAGAAAACGATAAGAAACAACAATTAGGGGAAAAGGTTTGACTTCGGATAATTCCAAACGACTTGGAACACCTCAGTGGTACATTCCTTTATGTGTTTACATGTACTTCACATTACCTACGAAGTTCTACCAAACGCTATCATGTAGGGCTCAATGTAGGGCGCATCCAAGGCTCCAGACACCGTTCCTATACCCAGAAGGATGCACTTTGCAAACAGCAAGCTGAGACCAGCAATAAAAGACAAGCTAGTGTGTTCAGTGGTGTCAACTGGACCAGCGATCAATTATAATCAGTCCTTCACGGAGTGACATACTCCAAAAGGGTTATGGGATGCTTTTTCAGTTGTCAGTTTACATCGGTCCCTATAGATATCTATCGTCCTACTTTTTCCTTCGTTGGAAATATTTTTGTGGATGTGGTTGCACCTTTTCGGCTACAAACACATTGGGGTTACCAATATCAAATGTGCCTGTTTAAGTTGTACACTGTTGAGGCACGTGAAAGCAATGGAAATTCAAAAGTAACAACTCTCAATCATAGTGACTTAATCCATGTGGGGGGGCTACAGGCAAAAAAGAACATGAGGCGAGAACAGTGTTCTAAAAGCTGAAAAAACCAAAGGCTGAAAGTGACACGTATTTAAGAAATCATCTTTAAGCCTTTAACTGAAAGCATGCCCGGGCTTCGACTACCCAGTGAGCAAACCTCAATTGTTTTAGTCAGAACTGCAGTTTAACACAGCCCGTAGCCAGCAAGTGAGCGACAGAAAATGTTCTGCACCCGTGGTGTATTCCTTCCCCCCATCAATTACTCTACTGTGCCTCCCGGCAACTGAAACGCTGAGAAAAGTAATATCATGTTCAGACACACTCAATAATTTATATCCGTATGCTTGAAAACCTCAATAGCTGAATTTTGGCACGCTGATACGAGACCGTTGTAGCCTAGTACAATGGATGGGGTATGCCGTGTTGAAGAAATCGGAAAAGACAGATTCAACAATAAGGTTTAGTGTTGAGACAATTTTGATTCTGCACATGAAGTAGTATGAAATGGAAAGGACGACTGTTGTATTTTCAAAGTGAATATCCCGGATCGAGCTTATTCGATCCCTCCGAAAGCTGGATTTCAAAATTCGAAGTCACGTTCATCTTATAAGCGTCTCGAGAATGCATAGCGAAGAAATTCACGCACTATTCATCGGTGTGCGGTGTTTTCTTAACTAAGGATACCGAAGGGACACGTACGGAAAAAGACAATTCGTGGTTCGTTCGCTACTTTGCTAGTGGATAGCGGACTCAAGAATCCTTGGAGCGCACAGAGGTCTTGTAGATTTCACCATCCTGATGAAAACAAGGTGCTCCCAGATGAACTCAGCAACATTGGTTGTGCCCATGAAAGACGCAATTATGACAATCGATACTTGCTGCGAGGATTTCAATACGACCGAAAGGGAAAGCGAAGAATATCCCGCGGGAAGGACCTTCCGAATAGTAGGCAAAGAATAATTTACGGCTGACTGCATATGCATCTGACATGATTTCAATTGGGTTACCAGGAGAAACAGACACCCAGGATCATATCTTTCACTAAGGGAGGCAAAATCACTGCTATTGTTGTTTAGAGAGTGACTGATGAGAAGAGAACACATACAACACCTGGTAAGCAGGTGAAACTGTTTTGCAACATTCACAACAACTAAGACATTGCAACGTTGCTGCGCGTATGCTAAGCTCACAGTTTACGACACATGCCCTGTGAGGTGAAGTTTCATAACGAGAGAGACTCGCTGTTGTTCCTGCAGTAAGAATGAGGGGGTCTCGTTGCATAGATTTCCACCAGCTTTTGCCAGCTACGAGAACCAGTGGTGGTGCTGATGTAAGGACTGTCTAAATACTTAAAAAGTGCTCTCTGGTGAAATCTCAGCAGACTGATGTGCGATCGAATGACGCAGACAGAATATATTTGAAGTTCCTTTTGAAAGTTGATGATGGTAAAGACCCTAACAACAAAAAGTGCGAAAGTGGCACGTCCGAAGAAGGGTTTCGAAAGAAAGATGTACACATTGCATTGCACACATCTATCCAGCAGATCCTGCAGAACTGTTTGCTAGTAATTATACCATGGTTTTCCTAATCGAATAGACTGGAAAATTCAGATGCTTTCCTCGAATCATCATAACAGTGCTGTCCTCACAACGTAGACAAAATTTCTGGATTGTTGGACTGCGTGGCCTACCCCGTTGTTCAATTGAAAATAGGTTTCAATATCATATGTAAACAAGCTTCGTAAGAGAACATGGATTCATGTGAAAGATGTGACTGTGGCAAGAGTAACCATGGTAATCGCAGCATTCCGGCCGTTCCGAGAAAAACAAACACGTTAGACGCTTGCTCTCTGATTGTTACCCGCATCCAGATACCCTGGTAGTTTTGGAACGTCACTTTCGTTACAACCTTTCGGGGATCTTATATTGTGCGTGTAACGTCCCATCTGTACACCAACGTACCTCACCCATCAGTGTTATTAACGGATCAAGTTTATTAAACTGAACGTCAATGAAACAGCTCTCTTTCCCACTACACATCTGCTTTGGTTAAATTGGACAAATTTCATTATTGATTTGTCCATCATTTTGTTACAGCTCCGGTTTTGTGACTCTGCAAGTTAATCACGAATATTTTGCCGGATTGTTCACTGGACATAAATTCCCTTGTTTTTTTTATTAAAAATGTCTCCGTACCGCATATAACTATCGCCTCGTATTTTTTGCTGAACATATTCTGGCACTGTGCTCGACGCCACAGATTATGGACAACTCCTTAGGTTGATTGCGCGTCGCTAAGATTGGAACCCACAGTTGTAGCGGCAGCTATAACAAGATTACCAGAAGGTAGAACTGTTCTCCGGCAAGAAACCTGGTTCCTGACACAAAACCATCGATTTCAAGGATTACTGTGTTCCTTTCAGGTCATATTAAACTGTACTCACTAGCTTTCGTTCAGTGACCCGACGGGTTACTGGTTTGACAGTATAACATGATACATTTGGTAGGCCATGTGACGAAATAATGGCAGCTCTGGTGCGTTTGTTGATTGCCGCTTATATGGCAGGTAATCTGTTCGCCGAGCTTGGCAATTGTGCCGTGACGCGCGTTTGGTGACAAAACGTTTTCAAGTTAGTTGTCAAACTCGGTGAACAAACAGTCACCTGAGCAACAGCCGATCCATTTCATTTTAACTGTTTAGCATTTGGTGTTTACGAAGTGCAAATAGAAGAAAGTGATGCCGCCGTGGACAGGAAGCCTAGGGGGTTGAGAATCAAAATTTGAGAGCCAATAATTTAAGGGATAATAGGTCATGACAACCAAGGGGTAGTAGAGAAGAGTTACATAGCACAATGACTCTGTATCAAGAAATCACATGAGTACAAAGGTGCACAAAGTTTTAACGTCAAGGACGTGAGATATGGCTGAAATCAGAAGTAACAAGGCGCCGCTGAACTATTCATTAGTTCATCCATCTACCCCACAGATCGAACATACCCTTAGATATGATTACCCAAGACAAGCGTTCAACTTAAAGTTCATCCTCAATATGCCAAGCGAATGACTTATGTCACCATAGGAAATTCTACTCCAAAATGCTTTAAACATGCGTCTGTGATCTGTCCAAGGCCTCAAATTTCAATCCAGTCTTCAAGAGACCGAACCATGGTCTCTTATGGAAGAGCACACCTGTCTAAAGCAGGGGCGATCGTATGTGGAATCTATACTGGGGACAAGCGAACAAATCACACAGGTAGTGATAATCGATATTGAGGGAGAATTACAAACATGGAGTACAACAAACGGAAGGCATTTGACAGAGTAGAAGAGGTGTCTCGCTGTGTCCCTTTCTTAGTGGTTAAACAACCTTATCTGCAAATTGAGTCTACGCTCACGGGAGACCCAAATGAATCTTTCGTATACTGCATTTTTCAATTGAAGGGGCTTTATTCGACACGATAATCGAGATAAAGTATAACACACCACTTTTGAGATTAGTGAATATTTTAAGATGGCCCGCTATCGGTTTCATTCTAGCTAGTGTTAACCAGGTAGGCACAGTCGCGAGAAGGGCGAAACCGGCAGTAGGCTTTCGGGCATTTTTCAGTAGTGCTCCTGCTGTTTCGAGAAAACAAGTTAGCTTGTGAATGTCTGTCAGCATGACCATAACAGTGACATTTCCGACGTGCTTTGACCTACAGAGACACCGCAATTAGAGACATGACTGGCAAGCCACTATATTCGCATACTAGAGAGAATTGTTCATCCACGTGATATGGTGAGAAATATGAACAGCAATATGGAACAAGGGCATTTCACAACAATCACGTAAGAACCCACCTGGAGGAAGGCCCCAAAGTAGCCCAAAACGGACGCGGATTTTCGTCCTAATGCAAACGTCGAACTGGCAGCACACATGTCGAGTGGCTCGGCGGGGTCCGGCTCAGTAGAGATTTGTGAAACCGAATGGATGATTGTACCAAACAGATTACGTATCAGCTCCAATATGTTGAATATCACAAAAGATTGCATGAGATATAGTAAGACTACAATCATGCACAAGATAACACAAGGTGCCATCGGACGAACAAGGCATTGAATTAATCGTGTAAGCTCGGAAGACATGTGACGCTTCATTTGAAGGATTTTTAAATGAAGAGGAAGTAGCTGAGAGTCTAAAAAGTCGATCAAGCTGTTAGGGTCTTCCAGAGTTGATGGAGGGACCTCTCTGTAGGTGAGCAACGCCAGTCGATCGTACCAATTGACTGGCGAGTTAGACAGTAGAATTGTCGCCGTCTGCCTTGCGTCCTTTAAACACATGGCATCAAGTTGCATTTCCCGTAATTGGTCGTCTAACAATGGAGCTGTAATTCGCACATCGGGAAGCTTCGTAATGGAAAGTGTCAATAAATGATAGCCAACGCTAAGGAGACCAAACGGGGTGCACGCGAAAAGCAATCCCAACCCCAGAAGAGATGACACCAACTGTACAGACTCCAGTAAACGTACAAGTATTTGAAACATAAAAGAAGTCAAAAACTCGGACCACGTGTGGGTGTGCAGTGAACGTTGAATAAATGTTACCGGATGGACTGAGAAGAATGGCACACGGGAAAACAGTTTTGAGTGTCCCAGAAGAACTGCGTGCAGTGAAGAAAGGAACAAACCTGCAGACCAGACTGTTCCCAAAACTAGGATGTAGGAGAACACAAGTAAACACACAGCTTCAACAAGACGGGATGCAAATGCGTTCGTGGTACCCCGAAAACCTTGGGCGATAAGTAGGAAATAGGAGAACGGAAGCAGGATACATACCATCTTGGTACCCATATTTACAACCAACGTCAAGTCTTTCACCAAACCAGTATCTAGCCACTGAACGTAGTAGGACTGATTGAAACTGAGCAGCACCTCGTTGATTACAATGGAACAGGGCAATAGACTATAACCGGTCAACGATATTGTCAGTGTAAATGTGCAAACTCCAAGCACGAGTTGATGGACTGTTCGATCGGTTCGTTCATATTTCATTTCTGCGTCTGGTTTGGCAATGAAATACTGCAGAGTCATGTGTGCGATTGAAAAGAGAGTGACGAAGAAAAGGAAAACGACGACGAGACCGCGAATTTCGTTGTAGAATGCGGCAACTTCATGACTGATGGCTGGCTCCTCTTCCCTCATGCCGTCCATAATAGCATGTAGTCTGGAAAAAAAACAAAAAGTATGAAGTACGAATAGGTAGTTGAACGTCCCATAACCTTTTCTCCGTTAAATTTTTGAGGTTAAACTGCATCCATGAGAATGGTGCGTACGTGGGGCGAGATGGCCCAAGTGGTTAGAGCGCGAATTTACTGACCGGAAGGTCCGTGGTTCGAACCCGACTTCCGCCACTCGATTTCCCCTGTCTAGGCTTGGGCAACCTGGCAGTATCCCAGTCCTCGTGCTTCCTTCGGGTGGCATGGCAGCTAGGCACCGGAGGGGTGCTACAGCTGAACGCTTTTTTTATTAGCCTATGTAGACGGCCAACTGAGGTACAAGGATCGTCCCGCTATACTCAACCGGTTGAATCAAAACAACCCGATGGTCCTAATGCAAGCAAACACTAGGCGCTGAAATGCTCTCATATGGTGCAACAGGAGACAGGACTCACTGAGCACAGGAAAACTTACGTGGTATGTGTCGGTTAGTTGCCTGTCACAAAAAATACACTCAACGCGAAAATAGACGCCCAAGACAGGGAACAGAAGGTGACACCATGGTGCTTTTATTTCGTGAAAACAACTGTCAAGTGTGTGGGTATTGGAGGCATGCATCTGATGAGTGGCCAGTCTTTAATTCGCCAAAATCACATATCCAAAACAACAGAATGCATCGTAAAGTTGATCTCCATTAGGCGCCTCCCCCCAATTAGCGGACAAGATTCAACCGCAATTAACAGACACTTGGAGATCGGCAAACGTGGTGTAACACGGAGTATTCGCCTTGGGACCGGAATCCCAGTGATATGATGACCTTCTGGATGAACAATAAGGCAAACTTGCAATGTTCCAGCTTTCATGGATTATAATGCCTCCAATCGGAGTGGTTGTCCTTAGATGAGGTCCACTAGATATACAAAACACTACAATACGACTGAATTCATTTAGCACACTCGGAGTAAAAAAGGACGCAAAAGTACAACAGATGATTCCTACACATCCTCTTGGTGAATAGCTACCGTGAAACCCACTAATGAAGTTCGTCTAGTGGTTTCTAACTGGCTCGTAAGCTTAGCATGGACACGGCAAGTACGATAGTAAGCGAAGGTTATTTGGAACAACAACTAATTGACGAGAGAGTAGACGAGTAACGCGTTCTGTTTGTCAACTGCGTGTCCCTGGCAAGGCATCTGCGCAGTCGGCTCTCACTGTCGTCCAGGGAAATACTAACGTGTAAACCTACACGGGACAAATGTGGCTCTCCAATCCGGACCCATAGTTTGGGTTAAAATTCATTTATATGTTTACCACTTTGTTTCAACTAGCCATTTCTACTTTTATCAGGCAATTCCCAAGGTATGAATGATGTGGTCTAGTTGGATCGTATTACTCAGATCTTGCACTTCTGGAATAACGTCAGGATATTGACTTATGCTAGAATAAATCAAAAGAGTTATTCGAGTTATTCTACAGAATTAGTCGCCTAACCTTGTCACCTAGTTATACTCAAATAAAGATCGCTGACCCAACCGACACGGTCTATTATATTTATGAGGATTCAACGAACTTTTCTGGTAGCATCTAGCTCATGTACATTTGTGCTCCATCATAGGGACCAATGAAACTTGTCGTCCAGCTACCAATTTATTCTGATTCAGGATTCTGTCAGATAGCCTTCTGACATCACTCTGACTACCGTTTCCGCATGTGAGTTAGTTGACCGACCGTGACCGAAACCTGTTTTTCCAACTGCGGTCGAAAAAGACTGATGCTGATAACAAGATATCAAAGACTGCGTGGGTAGTAGTTTAAAGCGCGATCTCGTGAGATAAAGGCGGTTACATCCACTGCACCTGAACGGGCACGTGAGGGTGAGTATGAGCGCCACCTTTTACCTTACGGTAAGGCATTAACTACAGGCTCATGGAACGCTCGAACATCGAACTGGTAGCCTGATCGATTATCCTGCACGGTGTATTACCTTGTCACGGCCCTGAGCAAAGCACGGTGCTTCGATCAAAAGTCATAAAAAACTGCTTCCGGATAACCGTTAAAGATAACCTTTAAGGACAACCTTTTAAAGAGGATCACGATGACGGTTTCGCCCTCTGCGACTGTCTTATGCAGGAACTCACGGAGTCAATTCACGTCTCTCACCTAACGAAAGCAATACTAATTGACCGAATTTTTGAGAAGCGTATATGGACCGTTATGCTCACCAATAGTCAACAAAGGCTATCTTCACACCAGAGTTGATATTGTTTCGTGGTCGTTTCCGGGAAAAAACTCCTCTTATTGCAAAACTTTAGTGAAAGGGTAAGGCGTTCTCGGACACTTACGATAACCAGCTGCGTAGATGGTAATCTACCTGTTCAATTGCCATCAAATTCTGCTCCACGGAGATATCCGTCAAGTGGCCACTACCATCTACTTGATCAAGTTGTCTTTCAGCTGGGAGATATTCAAGGGTCTCATATCAGATGAGTGGTTTGAGAGGCCTACTGTGGAATAAATCATCAACCAAACATCCGGGTTCACATGTCAAATTATGCCAACCTGAGTGTTGAATGCATAAATTTTAATGCAAAAATACCTGAAAGATCCGATGAACATGAAATAGCCTCTGCAGTGACGGACCAACCAACCCGTCCAGCCCAATAATAGGGCCGCAATGACATGGTAAGCACCTAGCACTGCCGCCAGCGATTAATAAAATAACTTCGAAAACCTGAGAACTGATCTGATGACAAGAATTAGCACATAGAGTAACTAACAAATGGAAAGAGCAAAGCCTTTGTTGCGGCGATTAAAGGAGGCGAAGGTCAAAGAATGCTCAGGATTAAAGACAAATATTGTTAAGAAATGCACTGAACAACATTGAGAAACTTGGTGTCCGGCCGCGGCACAGCGAATTCAACGATCCTATGGAAACGATTCACATACCGTGCAACAAACCGATACAAATGACCAAGGATGCCCATACAGGACTGAAGCACATATCAACCTTAGAAACAAGAACCACATCACACTATTGAGAAGACTCTGTTACACTGGACAGATTGTTCCATATAAGAATAAAACAGTCACTGAATGTTCCCCCGACAATCTGAGATACGAGTGACATGAGGAAATACCCCGGGAATACATGCTTGTGGCAGGTAACCTAAAATGTTGCTGTCTGATATTGTCAAACATACTTCGTTAATCAGCCAACATTATCTGGTAAAAAAAGAAACTTCAGCCGGAATTCAGAGATACTCTGATCGTTCCGCTCCACAAAGAACTCAACCGACAATTACAGGCTCATTAGGCCGTTGAGCTGCGCAGGCGAGTTCTACACAACCATTTAACAGCCGAGATTGTCGAAACACACCTCCCAGAACAAAGTGGCCTCAGTAGAGATCACAGTACAAATGGCCTGGTGTTTTCTGCACACCTTCAAGAGTAGTCCTAACTCCATCCTCTACATACCCTCCTAATATATTTCACGAAAACCCGCAGCTCTCTTACTCAAGAAACAATGTGGGCTGTTTTTGCAGCCCTCGTGAATGGCGATGCTGATGTGCATTCCGAATATCGGTCGAATGGACGTCTGTTTAGTATCAGATTTCTGGGAACAAGGATTCTGGTCCGCCAGACAAAGATCCGCATTCGCGCGTTCGACGATTGTGCATCAGTTGCACGTTAGCAAAATGAACTGTGAGGCTTAACTGAGGACTAGCACGATTCGCCACTTAACAATCTTGGCTAGATGGATTCTCCAGTATTCTCCCCCGAATCAAGCTTGCGGACGACCTTACACACTTCCGCCACCTCGGCTGCCTACTGTCTTTTGGGCTTACTGCAAGCTGATAACGCGCACCACCAAAGATAGGTTGGTTTTCGACGAATGCATACGAATAAAGAGCGATGTGTACAGAGCGATGTTTCCCTCTGATATCTTGTGTAGAGTTGAACGCTGGCCCGTGCAGGCGCAATATCCCACACATAACATGCTTCAAACGCAATACCTGAGACAGACACTCAGTGACAGCTGCATTGAGTCTGACTCAGACGCGAACTTACTGTGATGAGACGCAAGCTACGGCCCTGCGTATAGGTCTGATGTGAATGTGCTAAAAAGTCATGTTACAGTAAAATACTAAAATAACAATGAATAGGAAAACTGATGTACTTTCAAGCAGCTTTATTGCATACCTGATTTAGGTTTTTCGTTTCAGTTAGTGGAAGGAAGGAACCACAGAACGATGTGCGCATGTTCCCAACTAGCTACCAAAGTACGACTACATTCTCCATGCATCCCCAGCTCAAACAATTTGGCGTCGTTGAACAGTAATGAAGTAGTTGTGGTTCAAAAGCTGGGGGACCAAAACTTTCTGCAGTGTGAGCGTGTACAAAACCGCTTTTATCATTTGTATAATCGAACAATATTATCCTAACTGCGAGAGGCCTGATCCTTCGTGGTTGCTTAAGTCAAATAAAGTTCACTTCAGGGACCCCAGCAGGAACCCTTGTCTGAAGGCCTGCGTCACAAGAAAGCAGAGCAATCTACTGAGAATTGATTTCCACGCCAGTTAGATGGCGTAAAACCACCTGAGTTGTTGAGTGTATCCCCTGAACACATATGCCTGGGGTAGACTAAGGAAGCCGCTGGAGAGTCGTGTCCAGTAACGAGGTCAAATGGGGCCTAATACGCCATCTGCTGGTGTCATTCGCAGAGGCCCTTTGTGTTTAAGGACCGGTGCCCCTGACGAATGGTGCGGGTCTGGGAAGAAAATCGTATCAGTAAGGCTGACGTAAGCCAAAAGGGAAAGTTAATGCCCTCATACCTCACAGGCTACGCTGGTCAGGCAATGTGCTTCGTATGCTAGAGGACCATTTGCTTCGTAGTGTTCTCTCCTTCGTGCCTAACATCGAATAGAGACAATATACAGGTGGCCAGCCCATGGGTTAACGAGGCAAGAAAACGCTTATTAGTCAATTTAGTCGCGTTAGTGACTACTGTCACCTCGGATGGGAAGCCAACTATGAGAAAAACTAGCGATCAGTGACTGGCGGACATGGCTGCCACGCGGTCAAAGTGGGTTTACATAAAAGCCCTCATTCTTTGTCAATGAACTCTTTAGGCTGTTGCCTACAACGCGTGGCTCTCAGTCCCCTACTTCCTGTATCCTCATTAGTGAATGAAACTCCAGCAGCCGGAATCAGTACACTTCGGCACATGGTTTTTCGGTTCAAAACTGAACTGAAGTGATGCACGAGAATCCGTGAAAGATCGTCAATATGCACATAGATGAAAAAGTTCCCAAAAAAAGAAAAATAGCGCCTTGTCTGACACTATCAAATATGGTTCTTAATGCTCACCGTGAACTTCTATCCCGAGTATCCTACGAAGGTTACAGACACGATATTATATATATATATATATATATATATATATAAATGAATTTACGCCAGCGTGTTTCTATCCGAGTATACTGGAAATATTCATTGAACTTACGTATATTCAGGACACCGGATGTAACTGTAAAAATCGATGGTCTCGAAGTAAAGATGTGGACAGGTCAAATATTCGTTCGTCGGGCACAGCAGCCGAAAAACTCGTCCTCACAACAAACATGAAAATGGTCTGCTGGAGAGTGAAGGACCAGATGTTTGAGAAGTACATTAACCTAAAATAAAATACGAAGATAAATAAGTAGCTCGATGAGATGGACATTTGGGGAGCAACCGAAAAGTTGCCACATAATAGATATCAAATGTCATCCCTCAGGGAAGCAAGTAACATACTACAGGGTCATTCCGTACCAAAATGCCCCTAAATTAACAAAAACACGGAACAGTTTGGATAAGACCATGGATTCGCAGTTGGGCTGGAGATTCAATTTGGACACCAAAAGTTTGAAGTTGGCGTACGCCTGTAAGCCTTGCTCACACGGTTGCCCTGCATTCCCTGTGGTCACCCGCGCTCCTAGACATTATGCTTGTTCCAAAGTTGTTCGCGTTTAGTACATGAATAACACGTCGGCTGTCCGTATTGGAATACCGGTCGAATAAAAGTGAAAATGAGCATCAAGAGAAGCGTTGGACTACACGCTCAGAAGGTTCTCATAGCACCTAAAGAACCTACATGTTTGTACCTGTGCTAATAAGGTTTTGAGACCACTTTATGTAAAACAAGGTCGCATGTGATCTCCTCCAGGGTATAGGCTCGCCTTCGATGTTTTCCTTCATCATGCTCACTGGATTAGTCGCACTAACCCAAACTTATTGACCGGCAGCTTGTACCCGGCACCCCACTGCGCTAGCTTATACAGTTCAACTTATATTTCCTGCTCGTTCAGCAAAGTTTCCACCACCTTTTACAGTCTAATCGCACCAGTAGATAGTAAGTAAGGTGAACCGAAGTGGTGATAGGGCATCGATGTTGTTCACCAAAGGCAACCGACGGAAAGCAATCTCTCGTGGGATACCTTCGGCAGTTCGTGGTACCTGCAAGTGGGTGTCATTGAATCTTACCTTTCACTGTATTTGGCTGGTAAAACATTCTGTCCATTCGTAGAGATCTTACTCCAGGTTTACTTAGTTCTCGCACCAGGACAACAACAATAGTTTGATCATCTTTCGGAGCCTAGCTGCTATGTCACCCGAAAGGAGCACCAAGGTTGAGCTACCGCCAGGTAGCCCAAGCCTAGACAGGAACAGTCACGATACGGGGGTTGAGTTCCAGTTACGGAGCTTCGGTCAGTACGTTCATACCCTAACAACTGGGCTCTTTCGGGCTCAGGTACTCAATGTGCTCAGAGGCGAGCTGAATACCACGTATATCAAACGGATGCATCGCGAACGGGTTACGGACAAAAAGTACAGTATATTTTACGAAGTCAAGTGCATAACTAGACTCCAGAAATAATGTATCAAATGCAATCATCGTCCTTGACGAAAACACATGATGAGAACACTGGTGCTTCACTGCTGTACAATCACGTAAGTTTATTGGAAAAGCCTTATGAAGGAAATGAGAGAAACCGGGCAAGGGGGCGACCTAGGGATGGCCTGTCACAAAATTTCCGTGCCTACACAGCCAACAACCAATCAGGCAAACTGACATCGGTTAGTCACTATATGGTCTACTGTCCCAGGCAAGTGCAGGAGGGGGGCAACATGGACCTCATCTTGGAAGTCGAAAAGCACGAACGGCAACCAGACTTTCCGTAACATCTTTCATTCCTTCCTACCATGTCGAAATCTGTCCCCACCTCGGTTTGTGCCATTATGGAGGCATGGAAAACAGTAGTCAACTCGGTAGACAATGTATCGGGATGTATGGTACCTGACCAGCCACGACATTCGAAGCGACTGAAGTACCCATTGCAAAACCGAATTTCCGTATCCGTCTCCATCATCTTCAGCTGTGAAAAACCTCATATTTACCGTACGTTGGTTATAGCTGCCACAGTTTCGTTCGCCGATGGTTTGGGGGAGATGGAATAGATGGTTACGCATTGAAGACAGCAGCCGCTGCATGAATACATGACTGTCAGTAGACTTTTCATTGCGGAGATCGAGATGGGAGCTGTGAATTGAACGTGGTAGCTTGGGTGGACGAGGTCTACTGAGGGCGCGACTGGGTCGTTTTACAATGTTTCCAACTATTGATGTGATTCGTATGGAAAACCCATCCAGGAAAACGGTACTAACAAGCACAGCTGACTTTGCTGGTCAGGGTTAGTATAGACTTCGCTGCCAATTCTGTTTGCCCTCCCCTGGCTCGCCTCCAAATTTCGCGCGCTCGTTGCCAATCCCTTGACACCAGAAAGAGTCCTATCACACCAGTTGGAACAAACAGGCATCTCATCTCACCTATCCTTACAGGCCAAGTATAGCAATCAATTAACAATGTGACCATTACTATAGCCTGCTACACGTACCCCTTGAGACCTATTGGTAAACAGTTTTGATGACATAATTGACACCAACGAACAAAAGTCTGTTAGGACTTTGAGATCCGTGTGCCGGCTTCCTTCACACCTAATACAACTACCAAGGCGCGAAACATTCCCCATAATCTCCAGTTGTACAACTGGAATTGCAAAGGACGTTTTCAAAGAATGCACGTTCTCAAGCAGGACTTTGCAGCTTAAAGGTGCAAGACCCATGCCGAAAAACGGTATGATGGCGGTCAGTTTATTAAACAGAATTTGCGCTTCGCCTTTGTGTTCGAATATTAAGACGATGTCATCTGCGCACTCCAGGTCAACAACATTCGCTCCGGCAACGAACTGAACACCAGGGCTTTGAAGATGGCTCAAGTGGTTAGAGCGCGAATTTACTGACCGGAAAGTCCGTGGTTCGAACCCGACCTCTGGCACTAGGCTTCCGCGACCTGGCAGTATCCCAGCCCTCGTGCCTCCTTGGTGTGGCATGGCAGTTAGGCACCGAAAGAATGCTACAGCTGAACGATTATTTGTTATTTATTATAGGTTTGATTGAAAACGCCGACTGGTAAACATAATGAAACACACCCTCGGAGTAGGGGGCACTAAGATTGCGGGTCGTCTGTGCATATGGTGTCGCTCCAACACCTGATGAAAAGTGAGTATGTGGCCGAAGCAGCCCCTACCTGGCCGAAATCCTACTTGATGTTCACGGGTCAATAATTCGCACGCAACCGTAAAACGACGAGGAACCAGTAGAGCCGGAAGCCTCATCAAACTGGCATCTCTACGGTTACTGCATTCACTGTGCGTACCATTTTTGAAAGTGCGCACCAGTTTCGAATCAGCCAAATCAAATAGGACGATCTATTTCTCCCATATAGACACAAATAGGCTGGACAGGCACTGGCTGAGGAATTCATCGGCATTAAATAAATTGGGCAAGTGGAAGATGGTCAAGACCAGGATAACGATGACACTTGAGTAGAGGCGACACAGGACCCCATATTCACCATCCACATTTCTGCTGAAGACCAGCAGTGCATATTGGACGCAGCAGGTGGTCAACTGATTTGTTGTCCAAAGGTTCTCCGGAGAACGGCCGTTGCCGGACTGCAAAACCAGCTCGCTGACAAGGGGATTCCGAGGATGAGTGGAACAAATGGCGGACGTTCATAGCGTTTTTCGCTTCTTCCATTTCTTCGGTCTTTCGGATCCATCAAGTTTCACGCTCTATGTAGACACTTAGTTTCACATGGCGTGTTGCCGAGTTGTGGTTGCGACCCGCGGAATCTGTCACCGGGCGACCAACAGAGCCACGGTCCTCTAGAAGGTCCAGTTCACGGATGAGTTTTGCTGGGCTGCACGGCGCAGATAGTATTTCCAGTTTTGAGTAATAACTGTGGTTCTCCACTCTACCTGATCCTCCCAAGCTATTACTTCCAGAAAAACAATTGTCAAGGGTGCGGAAGGTTAACTTGGTAAATTTATTAAACATCCAAAACCAGGCCAAAACACATGTACAGGACGTCGTACTTAGTGAGTGCGCGGCGACACTACACATCTCCGGACGCCAACTGAATACTACACTGGTAATCCGCACTCAGCGTATACTGCATCATGATTGGCTGTTGGCCTAACATTTTCGGAGCTCACCCCGATGCCGAACTGTTCAGTGACTCGTTCTTCTGGCCAATCAAATACGAATTGGACATTTTGGCCGCAGCAGCACCCAGTTGAAAGCGGTAAAGCGGGTCAGGAGGAGGATTCCGCCTAATACCTCCCGCTCGAAGTTTTT